CTGGAGCATGTCTCCTCTGAAGAAAGGCTGCGAGAGCTGGGCCTGTTGAGCCTGGAGAAGAGAAGACTGAGAGGGGATCTCATCAATGTGTATAAATATTTAAAGGGAAGTTGTCAAGAGGATGGGGCCAGGCTCTTCTCCATGGTGCCCAGCGACAGGACAAGAGGCAACGGGCACAAACTGAAACACAGGAGGTTCCATCTGAACATGAGGAAAAGCCTCTTTCTTTCCTGTGAGGGTGACAGAGCGCTGGAACAGGTTGCCCAGAGAGGTAGTGGAGTCTCCTTCGCTGGAGATATTCAAAACCCGTCTGGATGTGATCCTGGGCAATATGCTCTAGGTGACCCTGCTTGAGCAGGGAGGTTGGACTAGATGATCTCCAGAGGTCCCTTCCAACCTAAACGATTCTGTGATTCTGTGGAACTATGCATGCTAACAGGAGAAACAGAGTATGGGTAGATTTAAGAACTAATAGTATCAAAAGGTAAATATTTATCATGTTAAAAAACAAGCTTTTCAGAGTTCATGAAGGACATATATAAAAGCCTGTTAAGTATATTTAAATAATGAAAGCACAGGGATTAGGTGTGTGTTGTGGGACTTGTTTTATTTAGATTATGCTAGATAAAAATCAATACATGCTTCTCAAGGCACTGAGACTCCTCAAGCAGATAGGTTGTTCAATGGAGGTCAAATATGAGAATCTTTTTTTCTGACACACTGTTGAACGTAAGCTTACTGAGAAGGATGTAACTGCAACATGCAAATAATTAAGTCTGAAAGAATGTGGAAGCTGCACAGATACAAAGAGCAGTGTGTTACGTTCAACCAAAACTAGAACGCAACGCTAATGGACTAGCAGAGCTTTCCAAAAGTTTACGCTATACTAGCATGTCGTAACGAAACGTACCCTCCAGGAACGCACTGTTTTTGATTCCCTTGCCTTCGGAAAGCACGCTTCTTAAAGCATGCCTTAACTACAAAAGAGCAGTAACAAATCTCCATTCAAGTGAAAAATCATTTTTCCACTTCTCAGCTGACATAGGTGACTTACCCAAGATACTTCTGTCTGGCATCTACTTCTTAGTCTCCCTTGTTAGCTGTGATGTCATATCTCAGACAACAGCAAGCAGGCTCCAGTTTGCGTGTTATCAGTGGATCTGAAATTAAGAAAGGAATTTCATCTCAAATTACTTTTATTCTCTGTGCCTACAGAAATATAAGTACTGTCTAACTTCAGTACTGGCATTACCTGAAAAACCCCATGAGCTGCCAGTGACGACATCCCAACTCATGAGAAGCCAGTACCACGCGATTCCATAAAGTATGGTGTAAGTGAAGGTAGTTTTAAAATAAGGTATCCTATACAAAAGCTTATGACTCTTAACGCTTAGAGTTCAGCTTTCACCCAGGAAGAAGTCTGAAGCTCATTTCCCTTAATCTTTTCTTGTTAGATGTTTTCAATGGCAAGCTGCTCAAAATATGACCTTTGCTTGAACCAAACTGAAAAGCTTTCAATTTCTGTGTTTCAGACCTTCATTGTGACTATTTCAGAAACTGGCCTTTATAAAAGAATGACATATCCGTACTTATTAACAGCATGGCTCACGGCACCTTTACGCTGTTTGGAATACTTTAATGTAAGCAATGATGTAGATGAAATCTGGTGAGCACGCAAGGCAGCAATGCAATGTATTGATCTACTTCTGCTATACGGCCTGAAGTTTATAGATGAATAATCTGATCCATCATTTTTAACAAAATCCAGAAAGAGTCCATTTGAGTTGACCATGGAATCATGAATTCACTTCTCTGCACAGCAACAGCAAACTGTACAAAAAGAGTAAAATATTCTGATGATCTCTGCAACACTTACGTACTTTACACTTTCTGGTTTTCACAATCAACTGTTTCCTTGGTCACCCGAAGAACCAGCAAAAGTATCTGAAATTGTGTTGTGCTGCATGTGAGAAATTAGCCGGTGGAAAAAGATCCTCTACCTTTTACATTACATGTTGTTCTCTAGGAATAACCCCCAATTTCCTCCCAGGACCGTTTAAAGGTTTTATCTTAACTGTCGGGTGCATTTAATACAACACTGGGCTGCATAATTCAATTCTAGAGACAATAATGTTTGCCGTGGCTGTAATCACTCCAAGCATCCCAGTACCAAAAGCAAAAAGGCACCATCTTCCTCTTGTTAGAAAGCTGTCGCAGAGGTAGTTTTAGCTACAGGAAACTAGGATCACACATGTTAAGTAAGGAAGATTCTAATAAAGGCCTTTTCTTCAGGTCTATGAACCTGTTAAGAAAAAGAATCGGCTTCAAGGCAAGAGCCAGTGCCAAAATTACACTGGAGAATGTCTTCTGTACAGGTAAATCACATTCAGGACATGGTACCTTCCTTATTCAGTGACTGAACTCTTACTTTGTATCTCTTCAGAAGGTTATACAAAAATATGTTTTCTTCGTGTGCGAGAGTTGAGCAAAGCTCTACTGACACAAGCAGCAGCAAATCCAACAGTGAGAAAGCCTGTAAATGTCATTGGCAAAACATCTTTTAATTTAGAAGGAAACCACACCTATGATGGAGTCTGAATTGTGTTTTATTGCTTTGAGAACTTCACAACTTACTAATTTCCAAGTAATGATGTGCACAACATTTTGGTAGGTAAGTACAGCTTTCTATCAGCTACTTGCAGTTGCTCAATTAGTCACATATTCCTTCACCTTACCCAGGGTATGGCTCATTATAAGAAAGTTTTCACAGGGCTTACTATCTTGACGAGAAAGGTTTAAATAACATTATACCATGTTCCTCTTTCTCATGTGTCTGTACTAAGAAAACAGTTTAAACAGCAGCTGCTATAATTATTCACCAAAGCAGCAGAAAAAGTGCTCTGATAAGTGTTCTTAAAATTCATTAAAATTATTTTAGTTATTCCTCAAAGCACTGCACTGAAAACGTTCAACGTGAACTAGAGCATAATATTAAGACGGTATGTGCGTAACTGCACTCAGGCCCCCCTTCAGAAAAAGAATACTGTATTCCTTGCCTGGACTCTGACAGTTGCCTATGAACAGTTACATTATGGCTTGGCTCTAATGAGCAAAATTCTCTGCAGGGTGCTTACTATGATTTTATTTTAAAGGGAGAAACAGTGTTTACTCTTCCTAATGACATTTTCCAGAAACTGTTTTAGATACATTCTTTCCCTCCCCTAAAATCATTTTTATGATTATCACTTCAAACTAGGCTCCCAAGAATAGACTGTTTTCTTAAGGATACAATGTCAAGTTGAACAGACCAAAATCTAACCTGTTTTTTTTTCCCCTCACAGATTTTTTTCTATAATGGAGACATAAGTATTTGTGTAAATCTGTATTCCAAACACTACTCTATTGTTTTAAATAAAATACTGTAAATTAAAAAGAAAACCAATACTTAGCTTCTAAGCAGCAAGCCCATCACCACAAACTGCTCTGCTCCTACTACAAGGAAATAAAACATTTCTGTCTCCCGTACGGAGAACACGGTATGAGCTAGATTTGTACATAAAACCTCTTGCTTTTTCCCCAGACTCTCAAAACTCGTTATGTCCTGGTTTTCTCTTTCACATGCCATACGTGTCCTACAGCACGTCAGGTACCAACTCCTTCCTTACCCTAGAAATGAAATACCCTGCATTTTGCAGGCCTACAGAGAGCGAGCGCGAATTTCACAAATTCAACAGGTTTTCTCTAACTGCAACTGCAATCTATGCATTGCAACGCTACTAGGGATTTCTCTCTACTTCACTCTATCCAGTTTTATTATATTGCTGTTCATTACAACCAATGTATACTTATCTATGCACAAAATAAGACAGTAAGTGTGTTCTATGTATTTATCCTCTGAAATATGAATTAAGGAATTGTCTTTGGTGACAGTCTGGATTTTTTTTGTCTGTGGATTACTAGTAAAAGAATAACAAAGGTCAATGGATTTCAATCAAGAATTAACAAGAAAAATGAAAAATATTTTAGGTATTATTTCCCTTTCTTCATATGCACAACTAAATCAGATGTGTCTTCCCGGTATTCGTGCAAATAGACGCTGTTTTCATGCAGTTATAAATAATCACTGAGATTATTATCAGAGAAAGAAGGTAGGAGGGAACAAACACATCAAAAGACTTTCTGGTTTTGTTTATTTATATGCTGCATTTCACAGCACCGATTTTAAGTCAGCTAGTTAGACCACTGCTGAAAGAAACCTTGTCCAACATCAGCCGGAAAAGTTTCCAAAGTAACTAAAGGCAAAATAAGGCACAATATCTGAACAATATATTAGAAAATGATATACCTGGTTTTACCACCTGGGGGAAAAACGGCAAGCTAAGCATATCCTTTTAGCTCTCCCATTTTGTTAATTCTTCATCAGCACAGGCACCTACCAAAGACGTAAGCTGAATTCCAGCCAGTTTAATCTCTCCCCCGACTAACCTGGAGACATTCTATTTAAATATGTTCTCATTTTCCGCATGTCACGTTATGTGCTTCTTCCCTGGAAGCGCACGCTGTTGTCCTGAGAGGGTAATACAGGTAACATGTAATATATAATCGTAGACTAATAGTGGCATTTATCGACTCTGTAGTCCACTAACACTATTAATTCTCACTGAATCTACCCGCATAGCTGAGGCCACCTATCCTGGGGCTCCTCATGCTGCAAACTGCAAACCGTAACTCCAACAGCAGAGACGAGGAGGGAAGTCAAGAAAAGTCAGCTTGCATGAAGATCAGCCTCTAAAACAAGTTGCTGTCTTTGTCCTGAGAGATACCCTTAGGATTTTCTCTCACCTTCCCAAAAATACAGTGTTTGCATAATCACAAATAAGTAAGGAAAACAAACTACCCACAAAACACACCCAACTTCCCCTCTCAATGGCATCAACTTTGCAGTTGTAGTTTTGCACTGAGCATTAAGTCATCAGCAGAACAGTGAAAGAATTGCAAAGTTTAAGGGAGTCTTTAATTTCAGTTCTGATTCTCGTTGTCTAATCTTTATTAGAAAAAAATCCTCAAGGTAGACGCTTTTTTTAGTAGCCAGCTCAAAGGGTGCGGATGAAATATGTAAACTAAATGATGAATCAGGTTATGTACCACTAACGTAGGTACACTTTCAAAAACACAAACCGTATCTAAAATCCAAGGAAAATTCTATTTTCAAAAAGATCATCTTTGTTTTTCACTATCTTGCGCTACATATTGCTTTCACCTGAAACATCGTTATGTTTTTCCAGAGCATTGCACTGAATTTAGTGGCTATTTCACCACGTTTATCACAGGTACTGTATGAAGCGTCACTGCAGTAGTGCACTGCAAATAGAATTTGCGTTTTCAACTAAACTTCTGAATTCTCCTGAACTGTATTCCTGCCCTGAAAAAGTGCAATCAATGCATGTGATAAATTGAGTGCATTTTGTACTTTTTACCAGTAACACAACACAGGAATGGCATAAAGATTAGGCATATGATTAAAACTATGCTTCAGCGTGGTCCTGCATATCTCAGAGAAGCCTACCAAGAAAGTAGAAGTCGTCACCTCAGACAAGTCACCACAAAAACAAGAGCGAAATATGAAAGTCCTTGCAACGAGCGTACCTGTTGCTCAAATCCAGTTTCCAATTTCCTCACAGGAAAAGCTACCTGTGGTGGCCTGTGTGCTGGTGCGCATATGGGAGCCTGGCAACCTACACCCTTCTTGAGTAGATTTTCCCCACCCCGCCGAACCGGCTGGGCAGTGGGAGGTCCACAGTTTGCAACCTGCCATCTGGGGACCACAGAGGATACAGAAAGGAACTCGTGTGACAGCTGGCTCGGAGAGCAGGCTCCTTCCTACATGTTGGCCACACATCTATTAGCCCCAAGTTTCAAAAGACCTAAGATGATCTAAAATTTAGCCACTCTCCTTTCGGAATTGTTTTAGCAGTCACAAACTGCAAAAGTTTGAACACCTCTCTTTTTACGCAAAAGCTAATCCACTGACTTGTGGGATAGGACACTCGGGCTTGCTGGCCTCCTATTCTCAGTTTCAACGGCTTGAAACCTGACAATTAGCCAAGAGAAAAGGCTTAAGAAAACCTTCCCATCGTCCAATATCTGTTTTCTTCTGATG